GCATTACATACAGTTACATTTGCATCGGTGAGATTTATTCCTGCATTACATGTAGCCGGTCTGTTACATGAAACCTGATTGGTTGCAAGACAGGTTTTATTCGTGGGTGGTAAAATGTGCAACATCATCACTATTCAACTTGTTTTGCAGCAATGTTGCAAAATGAGTAACCTGCGATCAGGTGTTCTTCCCCTTTTGTTTGGAAGATGAGGGGAAAAGGATGCCTGATATATTTACTTTACGGGTTGTCTTCCCATAGTCCAGAATCTGACTTTTGTCTGATTGGTCAAAAACAAAAGATCCTTCGGAACCGTGCACCGATTGGTCAAGGAACATATATGACTTCCATAATTATTAGATAGGTTTTGTCACCCTCATCTATTCATGACAGAAACCACAAGATGATCGAGGAATCTATTAACAGCAAGCTAAAATTTTAAAGCTACAATCACTGACAAAATTGTTGAGCCGTACTCAAATAGGGTAACTTCAGAGAACAAAAGAATTCACACGCCTCCCCTGTCCCCTCCATTCAAAGTTGGAGTGTTTGTTGTTTTCTAAAGGTAGGTTGAACAGTGGCACAACATTGCATGGAGGGGATGGGGGAGGAAAAGCTATATTTTTCCTTTTTGAAGTCAGGAAAACGTCAAAAAGCCCTTTGAGGGCGAAGTGTCTCAAATCATTTTGTTGGTGATTGTAGTTCTTAAAAGAAAAAAAATCGATACTTTTTTAATGAATCAAGTCAACAATGAACTGAGAAAAACCTTGACGGCTGAGATTAAGGACGAGTTGATATTTGTCAGCGGTAAGGATATCCGCTATTTCTTCTTGGACGCTTTCTTGCTTGTACTTGGCAAAATTGTTGTCTTCTATTTCTGATTGAGGTCAACTGCTGGAAAGTGTGTAAAAAAACTAATTATTGATGATTTTAAACCCACACTTTTGTGAACTCAGATGAAAGACCTTGAAAGATTTTTTGCGCAGAATTAATTACTATACTTTTGACCACTTCCAGTAAAGTAAACAATTCCATTGCTCTCCTATTGTTTTTAATAAATTATTAATTTGTTTGACTTGATGGTTTGAACAAAGATAACTCAAGGCAACGATAATGCAAGATTCGCAATAACAGCGGTCGTAACTTGGTCTTTAAAATCTGTGATGTTTTTGCTAATGACTACTGTGTCAACTTATTATTCACCGATAGCCTGTAAAGTAGTTTTCCCCGAAAAAAACAAAAAGAAAACTGCCTGACTATGCCTGATACAGGGCTTCTGATAAGTCGCGGAGAAAAAAGTCAATTTTTGCGGGATTTTCAGGGACAAATTCACGGTAAAATCGGCCGATTTTGTGGGATTTTCGCGGGAATTTTCGAGGCAAACTTCGCTGAGAAACAATCGATAAGCATATATTCGATATGATTTCAAGCAAATTTCGCGGCAGTTTGTGTGTTTTTGTGAATTTCGCGGGATTTCGCGGATTTAAGTGAATTTTGCGGCTCCGCGACCGCGCAAAATATCAGAAGCCCTGCTGATAGCAGTTTACAAAAGTTGTACGTTTTTGTTGCGCCTTTTACTTTAGCTCCACTATATTGGGCCAAACTCGGAAAGTAGGGGCGAACTTGCAGGGGCTGATTCGCTAGGGTGTGAACTCACTGATACCGCTTTTTTTTCCAGTTATAATTAGTGCACTCAGTTATAAGAGGAGCCCCAAACTTTCCAACACGGTTTTCTCAAGTTAGCAAACTGAAAATTAAGCTAAAATACCTACCCATAGGGCCCAACCATGATTTTTGGCGATGTTCACCTTAGCTATACAACATTAAACAACACGCTTTCCAACTTCGCTTATTATTTCTCCATGTTTTCTTTTGATATATGTCATCGCATGGTTTTTTATCCTTAAGTAGGGATATTTTATCAGATTATTACGCGGGATGACGTAGTCAGCCAGCGTCTTAAATTCGGGAGCACATTCCTTTCGTATTCTTGGGAGTCAAAAATTGCCTTGTTTTTTTAACTTTCGCGTACTCCGAGCCCTTCCCGAAAAAATTCTGTGATTTTTATTGGCTGCAACTTCGAATCACGTGCAAGTCACGTTGGATTGCACAAGCAGAATAAAGATACTGCCTGTCAGCAAAGAAGGGAAAAGTGAGCTTACTGGTTTCTTGATTTACAGCTGATAATTGGCCAAAAAAATTAGTAGTTAACTATTACTTACGAAGTCGTAGCTCGCTTGGTCGCTTCGGGGCGCAGAAAGAACGCTCCGCTGGCTAAGAAACTCTTGAGGTCGACTTGTATGTAGCAATATATGTAGCACGTCTATCAAAAAGCTTTAAGAAAATGTCAAAATGCCAAATGAATGGCACGCGTTGATGTTCGAAGGTCGTTTCACGTGAATTCACACGTAACACAATCCTTGACTATTAACGTGACAAGCTGAAAAGCTTTCAATTTTAACAGCTTTTCAAAATAACATTGAAATTTTTGCTTCAAACTAGAATGGTTCATTAGTTAATTTTTCAAAGGCAACTGTTACTTTTGCTCTGACAGGCGTAAAGTACGGTCGGCGACGCAAAACAATAGTTTTGTATTTTAAGGTATCAGCCACCCTTCAGGACCGTCCGTGCGCGGATCGCTGTAGCGTTAGTTGTTTTTATAAAAACCCCTATAAACCATATATTTTTTAAAAGCTTAATAATTCCAGATTATGGAGTTGAACTAACAAAAACGATTTACTTAAATGTGTTTCGAAATTGGAACGCTTTGTGTAAATGTACACGTCTCTATAAATCATGTTCCACTCCTGCTGGAAATAAACGGAAGAAAACAATTAACACCGCATTCGCTTCTCAACACGTTCTACTAAAAAACCGTGTCTCAGATTTTTGACAAGTGCGTTTGTTTTTCTTTTATTAGCAAATGAAGTTGGGGAAGGCAATTAGTCAACACTCCCTGTGGAAAAAAAGCTCTAGCTTTAAAATGAAAAGGAGTATTAAAATTCGCAGACACGGTTTTGTAGAAGAGATATATGGTATCACTCTGGCCAAATTTTAGCCAAATTGATTGAAAGGCCGCCGACTTGGAGATCAAAACGTACGAGTCGATGGGCAAAATTTGCGTTCGGAGATAAAATAGAACATACATTTTTGGCGGCATCCTACCTGGAATGAGATTATAACACCTAAATGTTTATTCTGATTGATATCAGAGAGGGATCAATTCTCTCTAACAATAGGAGTTTGACAGGTAACGTGTAACAGGAAAACTTCCACTCTTTTACACCACGGGAAGCACGATTTAATTCTTTCTCGAGCAAAAGTTTTGTCTCTCCTTCGATCTTCTTTGTATGATTCGCCCAGGCGTTTTTGTTGATCGGCGCCAGGCCAAGGAAACTAAAAAACTTTGAAGCCGCCGAATGTCCACCACCGATTGCTCGAAGGCCAAGAACTGAGGCCCGGTTTATTTCAAACGCTCTGCTCTTCTCGGAAGAATTAAAAACAGAATTTGTCTTGTACGACGGACAGCTTTCATTCTCGCGCTGGATTCTCCAGGTAGAACCAAGTCCATGCTTAGTCGCTACATTTTCCATGACTTGGACTCTTCCCTGGCAAAATCGACAAGACACAGACTCGTCCAGTTTCTCAAGCAGCTTTTCGCTCGATACGATATCTCGACCGCTTATTGTTTTCCACGTTCCATCAGCAGATGGGGTCGATGAGCTTAATTGGCTTTCTTCATATCTGGCTCTTCAAGCTGGATTTTGGAGCGGCTTGCACTCTCAGCAACTGCAGCATTTTCGCTTTTCTAAACATCCAACACCTCGAGCCACTTCTCTTGCTGATAAAATGAGCCTTTGTCGCTCTCTGCCAATTTTGGGCCCATTCTTTGTTAAACTCGCTTTTCGATTTCTTTTTCCCTCTCGGTTTCGATGACGAAAACGGACACGACCTTTTCTTTTTTTTGGCGGCATTTTCACCGAAGCAAACACTAAATATCCACGGAGAATACTAAGGGCTATAACCAACGCGAAGACAATTCACACGTGTTGTGTCGAAGCACGCACTCGATATCACGTTACTAGTTCACAGGCAAGTTAATTGATATATGACACGGGTATGACAGAACTTGTCAACGATCAATTGAGATAATTAACGAGAAAAAATCTTTTACCCGCGATATCTTTCGACAGAAATAATATTTTCTTCTGATTTTTTTTTAAAGAAAGTTCTCAAGCATATCTATTTGAAAACGTTGAAAGCTCAAATATGAAAAAAATGGCAATTTTAAGGGTGGCTGATACTTTAAAAAATCGCTGAATAAACACGGGAGTCACTCTTTTACGCTTACTAAGTATTTTTACCTGTTTTTAACTGTTGTGTCTGCGAGGCTAAAACATAACTTAAGATTGTTATTCCAGTAAAATGCGATGTATAAAAAAGAAAAGAGACGACTATTATTGTGGTTGTTTTAGAATCGGGTATCAATCTATAAAGTCCCGCATTGTCTTTCGTGTCGTGACAAGTCACTTTTAAATGATACGTATTAAAACACATATCACGTACTAAAAGCTAGTTAGCTAAGGAATCCACAAAAAGCCTATTTGTCCTGAACATTTCACCGATATTATAGAAAGAAAATACTTCCGTTCTGCGCTTAAACGACGACTTTCCAACAAGAAGATGATCTATTCAAAAGAGATAATAGGGAGTTACGATCCAGATAATCCAGAAGACGACGCCGTCTGTGTTGGTGGCCGCGTCGCGCCTGGGCACTTGTATGTAAATGAAGCTACGATCATTCATTTCAGGCAGCGGCGATGACTCGTTTTGGTGGGAAAATTTACTTGGCACCCGCGTGAAATGTAGTGGCTGAAAACTTGCTAATCAAACATCGATTCGATACAAGCAAGCACAGTCCAAAAAAATATATTAGTAATAACAAATTATGCCAAACTTAAGAGAGACCAGGATTTCCCTTCTCTATGCTTATGATTTGAGCATCATAAACGATGAAGAATTCGTCTTGCTGTACGATATCAACACTGCAAAAAGCCCTGACTTTCCCTACTGGAATTACGAGGCCTTTGAACTCGACAACATGTCCGACGATGAGTGTCAAGCCGAATTTCGCTTTTATAAGAACGATGTCTGTGACTTAATGGAAGTCTTGGGTTTTCCAGAGACTTTTACGTGCTACAATGGCTTGACGGTAGATGGTACTGAGGCTCTTTGCATCCTTTTAAAAAGATTTGCGTACCCTTGCCGTTATCTCGATATGATTCCGAGGTTTGCTAGGCCCGTGTCTCAGCTCTGTATGACAAGTAACATGGTTATGGACTATTTATATACGCACTGGAGTCATTTGTTAACCTCGCTAAATCAGCCTTGGCTTTCGCCTGATAATTTGGAGATATTCGCTAATGGTACTTTTCAAGCTGGCGGAGCTTTGCGGAATTGTTTTGGATTTGTCGATGGAACGGTCAGACCTGTTTCCCGACCCGGCAAAAATCAAAGAGTACTGTATAACGGACACAAAAAAGTTCACGCCATAAAGGTTCAATCCGTTGCTGTTCCAAACGGTCTAGTAGCCAATTTGTATGGACGGGTAGAGGGAAAACGACACGATAGTTCAATGCTAGCGTAGTCTAGTTTATATAATCAACTGGTATTATATTCTAGGGCCACAAATGGAGATCCATTATGTTTAAATGGTGATCCTGCGTACCCTTATCGTCCGCAGTTGCAAAGTCCTTTTAAAGAAGCAAGGCTTACTCAGAACGAGATGGACTGAAATAGTGCCATGAGTAGTGTGAGGGTATCAGTTGAATGGATTTTCAAGGACATCATTAATTACTTTAAATTCTTAGATTTTAAAAAGAATTTAAAAGTACAACTCAGTGCAGTAGGAAAAAAGTACATTGCTTGCACTTTACTTCACAATGCTAGGTGCTGCTTGTATGGTTCAACAACTTCCAAATATTTTGAAGTCCAACCACCAAAACTGCAAGAATACTTTTTGTAAACAGGTGACCCTCCTATATCATAGCTGCCAGTTCTGTCGATAAGCTTCAGTGCTTTACATATGATTTATCGTACTACCCTTCAATGAAACCAAGTTGCCTTTTTAGTCGTAACCTCTCTATCTGGTGTTTAAAGTCAGGAAATTAATGGGTAGGATAGCCTCCCGTATTAGGATAAAATTATTAACGAGTTTGTTATTATAAACATATACAAAGGTAACAATGGCAGTGAAATATTGAAAAGCACACAATCTTATGAAAACGTGGCTATGTCAGATATCAGGATCCTCTCACAGCGTAATCAGAGTAACACCGTTCCTTGAAAAGCCTTAGCAATCTTAACAGTCAAAGCTATATACGCTTTTTCTGAACGTTCATAACAGTTTAGAGTTGTCAAGCTGGTTATTTCATTTAAATCACAGGTACAACCTGCTGTTTCAATATTTCTTATTAATTCCAACTTAAAGTACACTGGATTTCAATAATTCATCGAAATGACTTGCACTGTGCATGACGGGGAAAAAGTGTTAGGCTGGCAAGTTATCCGTGCATCTCCCCTCCCCCCAGTTGCAATGTACATGTATACAAAGCACATGCACAAATAAACCAAAAAAACCGGTTTGGAATAAAAACTGTGAAGTCATCATGTGTTCCCCGCAGAGTGAAAGCTAAGAAAATAGTGGTCAGCGCAGTTTAGTAGTTCATGGCACTCATATTGTTATTCAGCAACTGATGACCGAAAAATCCTGCCAGAGCATCTCTGCCAGAGAACCTTCCCAACCCCATATCTTGCTCACCTTGAGCAAGCCTATCACCTGATTCAAAGAAATAGTGCATATTTTTATGGAAAATAAATGTAATTATACTAAACAAAAAGTTGACTAACATGATGGTCATCAATTTCATGCTTTTCTGTGCTCAGTTAAAGGGGTTCCAAGATAGTGATAATTTTAGGCTTTTGTGCAGTTTTAGGTGTAGTTATGATACTTGAATATGGCCTCTTGAAGGGTTTCTAATATAAATGACCCTAAATAAATACGTTTTATTAGCTGTCATAAAAGCCACATGTTAAATGTACTTTTCTTAGTTGTCCTTTTGTTTTGAGATTGCACCCTGCAGTAAAGTCAGCAAGGCTGTATTCTGCAGTTGCATTTGCTGAAGCAGCTGCTCCTGTTGTTTCTGTTGGCTTTGAACACTTTCACAGAACATCTTTGTAAGATCTGTGCCATAAGACCCTCTTGCTGGACTTTCTTTTCACCAAGCTCCGCCCTTCTCAATTGCAGCTCCTCCCTCTTTAGACCTGCATCTAAATCAGCCTTTTCTCTTAAGTAGGTAACAGTTTCTGTGCCAGTGGAACGTTTGGATTTCTTTTGTTCTTGTTCACCCTTCCTCTCTTTGCTCTGGGCAAAAATCTCCATTGAAGAATTTCGCATTTCTATTGCCTTTGCAGTCTCTTCATCAGCCTTTCCCCTCTTTTCTGCATCCTGTTGCTGGTCTTCAGCATCTTTCTCTCCAAAACGTTCAATTATGTCGGCCATGGAGTCTTTAAATGATGTATGCACTGGAGCAATACCACTGGCTTTTTCTTCTTCTCTTATTTTCTTCTTTCATTCTTTCTCCAGGAAGATGTAGTGATCACGTACTGACTTCTGGTTTACTGTAAACTTGGAAGATTCATACTGATTGAGGGACTCACTTTTTCTTTCCCAAACTTGGCCCCTTTGTTTACTCCCTCGTTTGAAATTCCAAGGTTAAAACAGGTACATTTCTTACGCCAACACTTCATTGTGTTTATTGGTCCACACCATAGGCTTTTTAGCACTACAAATACAAATATACTGTTATGAGATAAGACAGGGATATTTCATATTTTTACATCTTACTTTAATGTCATCTACTGTGGAAAGCTTGAAGGCCATGTGTGAGTTAAAAGATCTATCGTGGATTCATGGAAGATCCATAACTTTCATGTAACACTCTTATTCAGAGATATTTGAGATCACTGCTGGGTACACAAAGAAATATTTTAAAAACTTAAGTAGACTATCTTCTAGATATCACGTACCATTCTTACGGGGATAAATAGTGAAAAAAAAGGTCGATTAAAATCTTGAGCATGATAACAACAACAGTGAGAGTTCAAGTTTACATTAAATTTAAACTAAAACGCCCTAAATGTAGCAAAAGCTGATTACAACTTTTAAATAGAAGTTGTCTAAGATGGAAGCAAAGCAATTTTCGCTGTCGTTTACAATGAATGCGTGAATGTATGTAATCAATGAGCTGAATCCAAAAGCAATCCAACAGAAACACGACCAGCAGCAAGATAAATCGACGGCTTTCATTCAGATAACGAGCAGAGGAAAATTATAAGCTTACAGTATCTTGAAAACTTGAGTTAAGTGTTTTAGGAAAGAATGAAAATATCGAAAAAAAGAGCGTTCTTTTAAAGACAATCAAGTCATTGGTTTCTGGCGTAAAATTTTAATCTATTCTGTACCAAATACTGAGATCTAATTAAACTTATACTAACATAATTTTGCGAGCGGGAACCGTGAAAACGACATCAAAAGTGCGTTTGTGTTTACAACATAAGATAAAGTCTACCCAAATGAGTAAGGAAATCTAATTAAAAATAGGGTTTGGCAAAACAAAAGGAAGCAAAATTTCGCAGAAACTTACTTTTTTGAACAGACTTTGTCTAAGCCCCCATTTTCCACGAAGCCTTCAAAGAAGCAGATCTTCCCGCCTCGCCGTCAGCCGACGCTGTCACGACACCACAAACGCATGCGCAATGGTGAACCTTTGGTCACGGCGTCGCAAAATTTTCGGATCGTAAACTCCATAATAGTTTTTGGGCGCGCACGGTTTCGTTGAAATCATAGCAGTTTTTCCGGAAAGCCCACGGGATTTCAGTCAATCTTAAGCGAATTTTCTTTTCAACCTAAATAAAAATGATTAGTAAAAAGAATAGTGCCCTTATTTTTGACCCAAATATTTTTGTAAAAAAATACATAAACAGACCAGAATCTTACTTTTCCATTTCACAAACATGAAATATTCGGCGGCGTTGCCCATGTTTCTCATATGGCGCGAAAACTTACTTTCATATGACACATGCGGGTTTTTTTCGGACCCTCAGGAGGTCAAAGGATGTGAATTTCATGAAAAAAATATTCACAAAATTTTGCTTGACTTGTTCGGAAAATAATTTGTTTAGTTTTTAATAATTAACCAACAGCTCAATGATTTATTAATTTGGGCTAACAACTTCATGGTTCAAACAGAATTTTTTGGGAAAAAATCAAGGACTTTTCAAGGACTTGTTTTCCCCAATAACATGAAGTAAAGACTTTTAAAATGCGCAGGTAGAGGGGGGATCGCTTATTGCAATTCCTTCCTTCAGTAAGGAACGGTTAAAAGGGTACGTCAAATAACGGAAAATGAATCATGCCTAGAACACCGAAATCATAAGAAAAGACTTTCATGATCACCAAGGAAAATTGGTGTATTGCTATGCTTTCAATCATTCCTTTGCGCAAAACATGTTTTTTTTTTCTTAAACGAAGGTTATTTTTATTCAAGGAGCTTTCAAAAATATTCAAGGCCTTTTGTGGAAAATTCAAAGACTTTTCAAGGATATCCAACAATTTTTCAATTCTCAAGGACTTTTCAAGTACATGATGCTTTTTCAAGGACTTTCGAGGCCTGTGCGAACCATGAACTTGGAGGCCCGGGCACCCCAGCTAAATTGTTTGAGAGGCCGAAGGGCTCCCTGAAAATTTTATTTGGGCGGCCATCTAGATCTTTTAGGTTAAATTGCTTCCCTGAAATTTTCCTTAGCGTGCAGCCTTGCAGCCCTTTAGTTATTGGAAGTAATAATACATTACATGCTATTGTTGAATGTGGAAGTGCATTTTTGAGGAAATTAGTAAAGAGAATGCAAATTTAAGTGAACTACCCCATACTCTTAACATATATGGTGGTAATATTGATGTAACTTTTGTTTTGCGTAACAAAGGAACCCTTGTGTGTAACTCATCTTCTATAGTGTATTAGTCCTTAACAGAACATCTCCGTCTCTCCTGCACACATTTGTTGTTGATATACTACTCAACTTTCCATTGCCATTCAACATACCGTTAATTCTTGCTTACACCAACACATCCCGCGTAAACACCTTTGGGCGTCTTCTTGTTTGAACTATTTTCCAGTTTTAAGGGTCTTGAATTTGACCAAAAAAATGCCAAAAAAATTCAAATGCTGCACCTAATCCCATAACCTCCTCTCCATCCAAACATTGAAATCTGCATTATTACAGTCATTCACCTATGCAAACGAAAGCAGAAAAGTTACATATTTGATCAAAAGTGCAAAAATCCTTCCTACCAAAGCAAAAGGCATTGTTTTCTAAAGCTGTGAATACTTAATTAGTGATGCGTTTTTAGATTCATTAACAAGTCATCTGTCTTGGTTGCAGCATATTGACATGGGTACGGCATCGGTAGTATCAAAGATAAATCGATCACGTAATATGTGTGTGAATTTTTTGTTAATTAACTGAAAAATCTGGAAAATATGAAGTCCTTGTTTATGTTTTGAAACAGCTCTCACAGTTTTATTAACAGAGTTTGAAGCTTTCTTTAAAAAAAAAAGGTTCATAACGAGTACCAGATTGCACTGTAGCTGCACAAACCGCCATCTTGGGTCAAGCACTTGCTCAAAAGCTTATGTGGTGAGCAAACGTACATCAACATTAAGTTCAAAATGA